CTTTCATGAAATTCGACCTTCGGCGAGTTTTTTTGGCAAAATTTGGCCTTGAGTTTCGTGATTAGACTCGTGTTTCGGCGACCGTCCAGTACCCATCCGCCTGTTACCGCACACGCCAAGCCAGTCTCCCACGCCATTCACGCTCAGTGTGCCATTGTTTACCAACACATGACCATCACCCTGCGGGTTCATACAATACATTTCGTAATAATCCATTGTTTTTTGTGCTTGCAACTGCTAAATAAGTCATCTTGGACCCAAGGAAAGCTAGTGCAAGCCCTTTGGAAAATAAAGTGAGGAACACGATCCAGAGGGATTTTGAAGGGTTTGAGGCAGACCCTGTCCCTGCCGACCCTCTGCTTGTTGTGGAAGGTGTGGCATTGGGCAAGTCCATGGGGTTGGAGGTGAGTGACGGGGATGTGGAAGAGTTGGTGGAGGACCACAGGGACGAGCTAACCACTGACGAACTGCAAGAGCTTCAACTTGGAACAGCATCAGACCACAGCTGAGGAACTTGCTTCAGAGGAGGAGGAAGAGGGAGTGGATGAGGTGCCTTCTTCAAATATTAAGGAGATTTGTGCCCCAAATGGAATGAGTTGCAAAGTTTTGTTGAAAAGTATCACCCTGACCAAGCTGAAACAAGCCATATCTGCAACATGTACAATGACAGTGTTGTGTCCCACTGGACAGATATTTTGTGCGACAGCAGTCCAGTGACTCTCAAGTTGTTCCCAGTGGCATTAAAAGAAGAAGGGAAGTAACCCCAGATAAGGACTTGCTACCTAAAGTCCTAATGGAAGGAGATTCTACTTCCAAACAATAGTGAACACCTTCCTCCTATCCCCTCCTCCCATCTTCCATCCACCCAGAAGTCTTCAGTAACAATAAGTGTAATGTTATTATTTTTTACATGCATGTACTTGATTTCTCATTGATTTCAGTATATAAATCTTTATTTAATTTGAAAAAAAATATTTTATTTTAATATCTTTGGGTGTCTGGAACGGATTAATTTTATTTCCATTATTTCTTATGGGGAAAATGGTTTGGAGTTTCGTGAATTTCAACTTTCGGCAGGCTCTTTGGAACGGATTAATCACGAAACTCGGGGGTCCACTGTATATGCTTGTACATGTATGTATAGTGTGACCTAAGTGTAAGTAGAAGTAGCAAGACGTACCTGAAATCTTGCATGTTCATGAGACAGAAAAAAGGACACCAGCAATCCTACCATCATGTAAAACAATTACAGGCTTTCGTTTTACACTCACTTGGCAGGACGATAGTACCTCCCTGGGTGGTTGCTGCCTACCAACCTACTACCTAGGACTCTATCATATGCCTTTTCTAAATCCATAAATGCAATAAAAACTTCTCTACCCTGATCTAAATACTGTTCACATATATGCTTCAATGTAAACACTTGTTCTACACATCCCCTACCCACTCTAAAACCTCCTTGCTCATCCGCAATCCTACATTCTGTCTTACCTCTAATTCTTTCAATAATAACCCTACCGTACACTTTCCTTGGTATACTCAGTAAACTAATTCCTCTATAATTTTTACAATCTCTTTTGTCCCCCTTCCCTTTATATAAAGGAACTATACATGCTCTCTGCCAATCCCTAAGTACCTTCCCCTCTTTCATACATTTATTAAACAAAAATACCAACCACTCCCGTCAGTTCCAGCTGCTTTACCCCTTTCACTCTATGTAATACCTCACGCACCTCCCTCACACTCACATCCTGCTCTTCTTCACTCCTAAAAGATGGTATACCTCCCTGGCCAATGCATGAAATTACCGCCTCCCTTTCTTTGTCGACATTTAAAAGTTCCTCAAAATATTCCAGCCATCTGCCCAATACCTCCATCTCCCCATCTACTAACTCCCCTCCTCTATTTTAATTGACAAATCCATTCATTCCCTAGGCTTTTTTAACTTGTTTAACTCACTCCAAAATTTTTTCTTATTTTCATCAAAATTTCTTGACAGTGCCTCTCCCAGTCTATCATCTGCTCTCCTTTTGCACTCTCTCACCACTCTCTTCACCTTTCTTTTACTCTCCATATACTCTGCTCTTCTCATAACACTTCTGCTTTGTAAAAACCTCTCATAAGCTAACTTTTTCTCTTTTATCACACCCTTTACTTCATCATTCCACCAATCACTCCTCTTTCCTCCTGCACCCACCCTCCTATAGCCACAAACTTCTTCCCTACATTCTAATACTGCATTTTTAAAACTATTTCAACCCTCTTCAACCCCCCCCCCATACTACTCATACTTGCACTAGCCCACCTTTCTGCCAATAGTTACTTATATCACACCCAAACTTTCTCCTCCCTTAGTTTATACTCTCTCACCCCTCTCTTTCTTGTTATTACCATTTTCCTTTCGTCCCATCTACCTCTTACCCTAACTGTAGCTACAACTAAATAATGATTCGATATATCAGTTGCCCCTCTATAAACATGTACATCCTGGAGCCTACCCATCAATCTTTTATCCGCCAATACATAATCTAACAAACTACTTTAATTACGTGCCATATCTTGTATATTTATTTATCGTCTTCTTCATAAAATATGTATTACTTATTATCAAACCTCTTTCTACACATAGCTCAATTAAAGGCTCCCCATTTTCATTTACCCCTGGAACCCCAAATTTACCTACTACTCCCTCCACAACATTTTTATCCACTTTAGCATTGAAATCCCCAACCACAAGTACTCTCACACTTGGTTCAAAACTCCCCATGCATGCACTCAACATTTCCCAAAATCTCTCTCTCCTCTACACTTCTCATTTCTCCAGGTACATATACGCTTACTATAACCCACTTTTTACATCCAACCTTTTTCTTACTCCACATAATCCTTGAATTAATACATTTATACCCCCTCTTTTCCTGCCATAGCTTATCCTTCAACATTATTGCTACTCCTTCTTTAGGTCTAACTCTATTCAAAACCCCTGACCTAATCCCATTTATTTCTCCCCACAGAAACTCTCCCACACCTTTCAGCTTTGTTTCGCTTAATTAAAGCCAGAACATCCAGCTTCTTCTCATTCATAACATCCACAATCATCTCTTTCTTATCATTCGCACAACATCCATGCACATTCAAACATCCCACTTTGACAATTTTCTTTATCTTTTTAGTAGGCTATACAGGAAAAGGGGTTACTAGCCCATTGTTCCCAGCATTTTAGTTGACTTTTACAACACACACGATTTACGGAGGAAAGATTCTTATTCCACTTTCCCATGGATATAAAAGGAAAAGTAATAAGAACAAGAACTATAAAGATAAAATCAAAGAAAACTCAGATGAGTGTACATAAATAAATGTGTACATGTATGTGTAGTGTGACCTAAGTGTAAGTAGAAGTAGCAAGACATACCTGCAATCTTGCATGTTTATGAGACAGACAAAAGACACCAGCAATCCTTTCTTTCTTTCAACACACCGGCCGTATCCCACCGAGGCGGGGTGGCCCAAAAGGAAAAACGAAAGTTTCTCCTTTTACATTTAGTAATATATACAGGAGAAGAGGTTACTAGCCCCTTGCTCCCGGCATTTTAGTCGCCTCTTACAACACGCATGGCTTACGGAGGAAGAATTCTGTTCCACTTCCCCATGGAGATAAGAGGAAATAAACAAGAATAAGAACTAGAAAGAAAATAGAAGAAAACCCAGAGGGGTGTGTATATATGTGCTTGTACATGTATGTGTAGTGTGACCTAAGTGTAAGCAGAAGTAGCAAGACGTACCTGAAATCTTGCATGTTCATGAGACAGAAAAAAGGACACCAGCAATCCTACCATCATGTAAAACAATTACAGGGTCTCGTTTTACAGTCACTTGGCAGGACGGTAGTACCTCCCTGGGTGGTTGCTGTCTACCAACCTATCTATGTACAATTCCTGTACTACGTGCAGTGGTAAATGACTGCTTCCCTTCCACTGGCAACCCATGCTACCTACAACTGCATCCTGGAAGTGTCTTGCACATCACTATTTATCAAGCTATTTTGTATATTTTCTTCAATTTATCTGGTTTCTGGATATTGTAATTACAGAATCTCAATGTAAACTTGCAAGGAAATAAAAATTGTACTGTATTGTTTAACCATGGCACTCAAGAGGGGTTAAGAAGGAAAAACATAAATCCATATATTTTTTTTAAGAGAGAATGGAGCGAAACAGAATGACTTCAAGAGTGTATCAGTCTGTAGTGGAAGGAAGGTGGGGTAGGGGTCGGCCTAGGAAAGGTTGGAGGGAGGGGGTAAAGGAGGTTTTGTGTGCGAGGGGCTTGGACTTCCAGGAGGCATGCATGAGCGTGTTTGATAGGAGTGAATGGAGACAAATGGTTTTTAATACTTGACGTGCTGTTGGAGTGTGAGCAAAGTAACATTTATGAAGGGATTCAGGGAAACCGGCAGGCCGGACTTGAGTCCTGGAGATGGGAAGTACAGTGCCTGCACTCTGAAGGAGGGGTGTTAATGTTGCAGTTTAAAAACTGTAGTGTAAAGCACCCTTCTGGCAAGACAGTGATGGAGTGAATGATGGTGAAAGTTTTTCTTTTTCGGGCCACCCTGCCTTGGTGGGAATCGGCCAGTGTGATAATAAAAAATAAAAAAATTTTTAAGAAAATGAAAGAATTAGATATGCTTAGAAAAGGTGCACATGTGATGGAATCTGTCCATGAGTTCTGTGTGAATGAATTTACCATTCTTACAATTAGAAATGATGAGAAAAATTAAATTTGTACATTAAGCAGTACGTACAGGAAAAAATTTTGGTATTGTCCCATTCCTAGTCACTACAGCTAAATAAGATGGAAAGGTTACTTAGCACTCAGATGACGATGGAGTGAATTATAGTGAAAGTGTTTCTTCTTTTTTCGAATCACCCTACCTTGGTGGGAGATGTCTACTGTTAAAAAAAAGTTTAATGGGGAAATCTCATTAAAAATCACACAGCTTACGCATTTTGATCTGGTTGCTTGCCAACAAGTCGTTCGATTGCATCTAATTTGGAAGACATTCGGTTGCATGTCTGAACTAGCACTGATACCTTGGTCTCCAGTGAAGTAAGGCGAGTGTTCATACATGTTTTGATTTCTGAGACCTGAAAAGTAAGAAATACAGTACATATACTTTCAATTTAATAGACCTTGATTTAATGGACTTCAAAAACATGGAACAAAATCTGTTGGGTCAACAGATTCAGAAACAGCCAACAAAGTCAGTTGGTTACAGAATTGCCATTAGTACTAAATCACAGTAAATAATGGATGAGAATAGAGAATGGATGAGAATAGAGAATGGATGAGAGAGAAATAGTGATGAGTGTATCCTTACAGGGCTTGAAGGCAACCCACTCACCCACCCACCTCCCTGCCTTACCCTCCTGCTTGCCAAACACTGACATACTAACACAACATAAATCATAATTATACTGTTCTTGACTAATCTCTACCCAAACAATTTTGTTTTTATACATTACATAAAATGAGCATACATAAAGTATGAATGCATATGACAGAAACTAATGAACAGAAAAAAATATTTATAAGTCATGTAGACAAAATTTCAGTCAGGCACTTTTTTGTGAGTAATTAACCGGTTCCAAAATACGAATGTCGTAAGTGCAAAACACTGTAACGAAGAACATCGTAAGTTAGGGTTCAACTGTATACTAAAATTATTTATGATGTCATTCAGCTCTGAAACAGACTGATGACATTTATTCAGCTTTTAAAATAGGACAGAATATAAACTACTGATAGAAGCTGTGTACTAAATGAAATCATTCTGCATTTAAGATTTTTCTCATTTAGCGCTAAATGACCATTTTAAAGAGACATCAGTCTACATTACCTGAAAGCAGAGTGAGTGTCAACCACGACATACAGTTAACAAAGAGCTTACAGTATGAAAGTATTTACAGTAAAATTTATTAGTATGTACAGGCAGGCATCCCCTTTATAACACTTTGCTTAGTGGCATTTTGCTACTGCAGTATTCAGACTTCCTATAATAAATATATTCACCACTCACTACACACTAAGGACTAAAATATTTTAGGGTAAGTAATGTGTGTATGTATTGTACATGCATTTTTTCAGCATAGCTCTATTGTTCACTTAATATATGATAGTGTAAACATGGTATCAGACTTTTATATGCATTTGAAAGTGAAAAAAAAGACTTATGTTTCACTTTACAGTGATTTTAGCTTTACAGCAGTAGCCCAGAACCTAACCTGCCGTACAAAAGTTCTGTCTACCTACCTCGCTTAGTAAATGGTTCATAAGATCCATTTGTGTTACACGGATGCGCTTGACTGGGGGAAGTGAGGCAGAGTCATCATAGTCATCCTCGCTCTCCTCCCCCATGATACTCAGCTTTCTCTCCAGCCTGTAAATTATAGGTAATACTAGACTAGTACCAAGCTTACAAGAATATAATTATGCATTTTGCGTACTATATCTACTGTCAGCTTTTGCATTCTATGAACATCACGAATGCAGAACTTCCTTCATAAATACAATTTCTATGATATCACTAGTGCCTGAGCATATTCTTATGCTTATAAGGATGAAAGACAGAGCTGCATCATAGATGTGAAAAAGACAAGTACAGTGGAGCTCTTTACTTGTAAAACTTTTCACCCAACACTAGGCTTTATCAAATACATACAGGTGTCGTTAGCTTTATGTGACAGATGTGTCCCTGGCTGACGATGCTTAAAGTGAAATTGCATATAGTGAACCCTTTATAACATGAAAAAGATAGTGATTGGTTCTGAGACTGCAATTCTCACATTATTTTTTGGTCTCAGTTAGTTTTTTGCCAAATACATACATTCATTCCTTGTGAATGTTCACTTCATACTTGTTTAAAGAGCTTAGATTTTTTTTTTTTTTTTTTTTGTAAAGACTGGTCAAGTACTGTAAGTTTATTATTTATGTTGTGTCATTATGCAAGAGGTTGGCAGGTGGCTGGTGAAGGGTGGGAAGCCAGTGCGCGGTGGTGGGAAGGCTCAGCCCGGCTGAGTAGGAAGTATGGGGGTGGGCTGGATGGGTGTCCAGGAAGGAGGTGGACTGGTGGTCATATCCTTCCCTGCCTCTCTCACACTATCCCTCACTATCTCCCTCCTCCTCTTACATGTATGTATGTATTGTACTCACCTATTTGTGGTTGCAGGGGTCAAGTCACAGCTCCTGGCCCTGCCTCTTCATTGATTGCTACTAGGCCCTCTCTCTCCCTGTTCCATGAGCTTTATCAAACCTCATCTTAAAACTATGTATGGTTCCCGCCTCCACTACGTCGCTTTCCAGGCTATTCCACTGCCTGCCTCCACTACGTCACTTTCTAGGCTATTCCACTGCCTGACAACTCTGTGACTGAAGAAATACTTCCTAACATCCCTTTGACTCATCTGAGTCTTCAACTTCCAATTGTGACCCCTTGTTTCTGTGTCCTATATCTGGAACATCCTTTGTCCACCTTGTCTATTCCGTGCAGTATTTTATGTCATTATCATGTCTCCCCTGACCTACTTGTCCTCCAGTGTCGTCAGGCCAATTTTCCTTAACCGTTCATCGTAGAACAATCCCCTTAGCTCTGGGACTAGTCTTGATGTAAACCTTTGCACTTTCTCTAATTTCTTGATGTGCTTGACCAGGTGTGGATTCCAAATTGGTGCTGCATACTTCAGTATGGGCCTGTCGTATACGGCATACAGTCTTTAATGATTCCTTACTGAGGTATTGGAATGCTATCCTTAGGTTTGCCAGATGCCCATATGCTGCAGCAGTTATCTGATTGATGTGCACCTCAGGAGATGTGCTCAGTATTATACTCACCCCTTGAGTGAGGTATACAGTCTTTGGCCACTTAGACCATACTCTGTCTGCGGTCTTCTTTGCCCTTCCCCAATCTTCATGGTTTTGCATTTGGCAGAGTTAAATTCAAGGAGCCAGATGCTGGACCAGGCTTGTATCCTGTCAAAGTCTCTTTGTAGTCCTGCTTGATCCTCGACCGATTTGATTCTCCTTATTAACTTCATATCATCTGCAAACAAGGACACTTCTGAGTCTATCCCTTCCATTATGTCATGTATGTATGTACGTATGTATGTATACACATACATACATACATACATGGTGGTGTGGGTGCCTCAGACCTAACTTCATTCTACTCCCTGTTTGGTGTACTAGCCCAACAAGCAGTATTTTATATTATTGTAACTACGAACAAGTGGTATCGATCAATAACAGAGGCACCCACACCACCTTATGTCCTCGGACCAAGGGTAACACACCTACCTTGGTTGGGTGCTTGGTTCTTGCAAGATTTGGTGGTCCTGTGAGTTAGAGCGTCATGTGATTTTCACTCACCATGAGGTGGGCCAAAACATCATGGGTTCGAATCCTTGGCTAGTTGCAATGCAGTGTTGTTATTGATCAATACCAATCGTTCATGGTTACAATAATATATTTTTTTTTTCAACAAGTCGGCCGTCTCCCTCAGGTAACGATGTCATCGGATAACGAAAAAATGGATAGCGACATGTTTTTGCGTCAAAATATTGGCTCGGTTACCAAAAAAGAACTCGGTTAAGGACATTCGTCTCGAGTGTGTCCACGTGGCCTGAGCAGCCCAGACACTCCATGTACAGCTTGTGTACCATTGTTTACAAGCCAGTGAGGACGATTCCACGCATACATGCAATATAGGTATTTTGTATTATTTCATTGTTTTTAGTTCTTGTAACTGCTAAATAAGCCACCATGGGCCCAAAGAAAGCTTCTAGTGCTAGCCCTGTGGCAAAGAGGGTGATAAATACCATTGAATTGAAGAAAGAGATCATCACAAAATACGAAAGTGGAGTGCGTGTCTCCGAGTTGGCCAGGTTATATAACAAACCCCATACAACCATTGCCACTATCTTAGCCAACAAAAAGGTAATCAAGGAAGCTGTTGTTGCGAAAGGTGCAAATGTGCTTACAAAACAGAGATCGCAAATATTTGAAGATGTGGAGAAACTGTTGTTGGTGTGGATCAACGAGAAACGATTATCAGTAGATAGTGTTTCGTGCAAGAAAGGTATAAAATACCAACAATATGAAAGTTAAGACACATGTGCAACATCTGGATATCTTTATTGTAGATGTTTCGCCATCCAGTGGCTTTATCAATACAGATTCTAGGACATAATAAGAAGACAGTAGAACTATATACAAAAGATGAGGTAATCAGTCCCTCGGCCTTGGAGTTAGTGTTCACAGCATCGTGGTGGATGGCGAAACGTCTACAATAAAGATATCCAGATGTTGCACATGTGTCTTAACTTTCAGATAGTGTTTCACAGTCAATTACATGTGAAAAGGGAAGGCAGTTGCATGCGGATCTCATTAAGAAAATGCCTCCAAATAGTCCTCACACTGATGAATTTAAGGCCAGCAAAGGTTGGTTTGAGAGATTTAAGAATCATAGTGGCATACACAGTGTGATAAGACATGGTGAGGCTGCCAGTTCTGACAAAAAAGCGGCTGAAAAATATGTGCAGGATTTTAAGGGGTACACAGAAGCTGAACAATTAAAACCCCAACAAGTGTTCAACTGTGACAAAACAGGCCTGTTTTAGAAGAAAATGCCAAATAGGACCTGTATTACTCAAGAGGAAAAGGCACTCCCAGGCCACAAGCCTATGAAAGACAGGCTAACTCTCATGTTTTGTAGTAATGCTAGTGGGGATTGCAAAGTGAAGCCTTTACTCATGTATCACTCTGAAACTCCCAGAGTGTTCAAGAAAAACAGTGTTGTCAAGACTAAATTGTGTGTGATTATTTTTTTTTATTATCACACTGGCCGATTCTCACCAAGGCAGGGTGGCCCGAAAAAGAAAAACTTTCACCATCACTCACTCCATCACTGTCTTGCCAGAAGGGTGCTTTACACTACAGTTTTTAAACTGCAACATTAACACCCCTCCTTCAGAGTGCAGGCACTGTACTTCCCATCTCCAGGACTCAAGTCCGGCCTGCCGGTTTCCCTGAACCCCTTCATAAATGTTACTTTGCTCACACTCCAACAGCACGTCAAGTATTAAAAACCATTTGTCTCCATTCACTCCTATCAAACATGCTCACGCATGCCTGCTGGAAGTCCAAGCCCCTCGCACACAAAACCTCCTTTACCCCCTCCCTCCAACCTTTCCTAGGCCAATCCATACCCCGCCTTCCTTCCACTACAGACTGATACACTCTTGAAGTCACTCTGTTTCGCTCCATTCTCTCTACATGTCTGAACCACCTCAACAACCCTTCCTCAGCCCTCTGGACAACAGTTTTGGTAATCCCGCACCTCCTCCTAACTTCCAAACTATGAATTCTCTGCATTATATTCACACCACACATTGCCCTCAGACATGACATCTCCACTGCCTCCAGCCTTCTCCTCGCTGCAACATTCATCACCCATGCTTCACACCCATATAAGAGCATTGGTAAAACTATACTCTCATACATTCCCCTCTTTGCCTCCAAGGACAAAGTTCTTTGTCTCCACAGACTCCTAAGTGCGCCGCTCACCCTTTTCCCCTCATCAATTCTATGATTCACCTCATCTTTCATAGACCCATCCGCTGACAAGTCCACTCCCAAATATCTGAATACATTCACCTCCTCCATACTCTCTCCCTCCAATCTGATATCCAATCTTTCATCACCTAATCTTTTTGTTATCCTCATAACCTTACTCTTTCCTGTATTCACTTCTAATTTTCTTCTTTTGCACACCCTACCAAATTCATCCACCAATCTCTGCAACTTCTCTTCAGAATCTCCCAAGAGCAGTGTCATCAGCAAAGACCAACTGTGACAACTCCCACTTTATGTGTGATTCTTTATCTTTTAACTCCACGCCTCTTGCCAAGAACCTTGCATTTACTTCTCTTACAACCCCATCTGTGATGTGGTGAGCAAACAATAAGGCATGGGTCACTAAGGGCATTTTCCTCGATTGGTTCTATGATGTATTTGGCCCTTGTGTGAAAAAATACCTCCTGGAAAATAAATTGCCACTCCAGTGCCTCCTGTTAATGGACAATGCTCCTGCTCATCCTCAAGACTTGAAAGAGCAAATTGTGGTGAAGTTTAGTTTTATCAAAGTCAAGTTTTTGCCTCTTAACACCACTCCTCTCCTCCAGCCCATGGACCAGCAGGTCATTTCAAACTTCAAAAAACTGTACACCAAAGCAGTGTTTCAGAAGTGCTTTGAAGTGACCTCACACACTATTAGAGTTCTGGAAAGATCACTTCAGTATCCTCAGTTGCATAAACCTTATAGGTAAGGCTTGGGAGGGAGTGAGTTCCAGGACTTTGAACTCTGATTGGAAAAAATTGTGGCGAGAATGTGTACAAGAGAGGGATTTTGAAGGGTTTGGGACTAACCCTGAGGAGCCTATGCCAGTTGTGGAATCTATTAAGGCATTGGGGAAGTCCATGGGCTTGGAGGTTAGTGGCGAGGATGTGGAAGAGTTGGTGTAGGACAACGATGAAGAGTTAACCACTACAGAGCTGCAAGAACTTGAGGTGCATTAGCAACACACCACAGCTCAGGAATTTCCTTCAGAGGAGGAGGAAGAGAGATGGAGGAAGTTGCCTTCTTCAAAGATTAAGGACATTTGTGCAAAGTGAATTGAAGTGTAAACCTTTATGGATGAACATTACCCTCACAAAGCTGTTGCAGGCCGTATTGGCAACACGTACAATGACAATATTGCGTCCCATTTTAGGGAAATCTCAATGAGACGCCAGAAACAGAGCTCTCCGGACAGATTTTTGGTGCGACAGGGGTCCAGTGACTCTCAAGCTGGTCCTAGTGACATTAAAAAACAAAGAAGTGAGGTAACCCCAGAAAAAGACTTGTTACCTAAAGTCTTTATGGAATGGGATTCCCCCTTCCAAACAACTGTAAACTCCTCCATCCTCTGCCCTCCTCCCATCTCATCACTCATCTCATAAAGGTGTCATTTCAGTATTATTTATTCCGCATATCTCATTGTTTTCTGTGTAGGGAAATATATACTATGTCATGTAGTAAAAAAATATTTTGTTTAATACTTTTGGGTGTCTGGAATGGATTAATTGGATTTCCATTATTTCTTATGGGGAAAATTAATTCGGAAAACGAAAAAACTGGTTAAAGACAAGCTCTCTGGAACTGATTATCATTACCCGAGGGTCTACTGTACCTGGAAAGTACTTGAGGGCCTGGTCCCCAATCTGCACACTGCCATAACAACATACTGGAGTGAGAGATATGGGAGGAAGTGCAAAATAAACCCAGTGAGGAGCAGGGATGCAGTGGGGACAATAAGAGAACAATGTATCAACGTCTGGGGTCCCAGACTATTCAACATCTTACCAGAAGATATCCGTAACATGGCTGGAACAAGTGTAGAAACCTTCAAGAGGAAACTGGACAAGTATCTTCACCAGGTGCCAGATCAACCAGGCTGTGATGAATATGAGGGGCAGCAGGCCTCCAGCAGCAACAGCCTGGTTGACCATGCAAGCACCAGAGAGTAGTGAAACTTTGAAACTTCAAAGAAAGAACCGGTTCCCCTGAATCCCTTAATAAAATATTACCCTGCTCACACTCCCAAGCTTGTCAAGTCCCAAAAACCATTCACCTCCACTCACTCCTATCTAACAGGCTCACAAATGCTTGCTATATGTCCAAGCCACTTTCACACAAAACCTCCTTTACCCCCTTACCTTCATCATTTCCTAAGATGACCCCTACCCCACCTTCCTTCTATTACAGATTTATACTATTGATGAAGAGATTAATATGCCATTGTTGTTTGATATTGCATGCCTCTGTATGCTAAACACAGTCTTTCCCATCTGAAGCCCCTCATTGACTCACTGGGTGATTGCATATGAGTGAAAATGCACAGAGACCACCCACTCCACTCACATAAGAGTGAACTTTTGCCACAAAGTGAATTCCAGGTAGAAATAGAGTTGCCGCATATAAGCAAAAGTGAACATAGCAAATTCGCGTAAAGCGACGGGGAACCTTTACGGTACTTGATAAAATCTAGTGTTGGGAGAAATGTAAAAATGACCACTAAATGTGTGTCTTTCACCAGTTGTTAACACCTTGGCATTGTCTTCCACATGAATCCTTGATAACCAACAAGATACACCTACCATCTGACTTACGACCTGTTCGACATACGACCACTCGACTTATGACCGTGTTTTTTATGCCAAATTTCTGGGAAATAAACAACTATTTGTGTTGTACACAGTGTTTATCCTAAACCTTATAGTATAAAATACAGTACTAACAGCATAAAAAGTAAAGTAAAAAATGAAATACCAATAAAATAGTCATTACAAAACTGTGATGTTGATACTCAGTAGTAAAGTTCGACTTACGTCCATTTTGACTTACGATCGGTTGGTCGGAACCAAGCTCGGTACAGTATTCAAATTCAAATTAATTTTATTAAGACTAAATCAACAATAAATTTTTATGTAAGACTGAAATATATGAGCAGGACACTGAATTTCACAGGGCAAAAACAAAGTACTGTATAGAGTTACAAAAAAAAAAAAAAAAAAGAGAAAAGGCAGAACCCAACTGTTTAAAGTTAAAGAATATAAGAAATCCAAAATAAAGATAAGGATTTATTCATAACGGTAAAAAAATTCAAACATAGTACAGTACTATATCTTAACAATGAAAAATGTTATGCCAAGCTGCACCATAAGCAGCAAACTACTTTATTTCAATTCATACAAGTCTCATCAATATTAATCAGAAAATTGCAGGTTATATTAAACAACTATAACACACGTAGAAAATGACCTAATTCTGTTTAATTATTAGCCCGAAGGGTTAGTAACCCAGGATAACCTATATAAAACCAAGCAGTATTATTTCCTTTGCAGTCCTATAATAATAATAATAATAATAATAATAATAATAATAATAAAAGAAGAAGAAGAAGAAGAAGAAGAAGAAGAAGAAGAAGAAGAAGAAGAAGAAGAAGAAGAAGAAGAAGAGAAGAAGAAGAAGAAGAAGAAGAAGAAGAAGAAGAAGAAGAAGAAGAAGAAGAAGAAGAAGAAGAAGAAGAAGAAGAAGAAGAAGAAGAAGAAGAAGAAGAAGAAGAAGAAGAAGAAGAAGAAGAAGAAGAAGAAGAAGAAGAAGAAGAAGAAGAAGAAGAAGAAGAAGAAGAAGAAGAAGAAGAAGAAGAAGAAGAAGAAGAAGAAGAAGAAGAAGAAGAAGAAGAAGAAGAAGAAGAAGAAGAAGAAGAAATAAATAATATTTATTTCTACAAGTATATTTACAATATATAAAGGCCTAGCTGAAACCCCCTTATTATGAAGAGCATTTCAGGAAAATTAGGTCAGTTTTATCCCTATGATGCGACCCACACCAGTCGGCTTACACCCGGGTACATATCTACTGCTATGTGAACAGGGACAGCAGGTACCTTAAGGGAACACATTCTAATGTTTCCACCTGTACCAGGGATCAGACCATGGACCTCAGTGTGTGAGCTGAGTGAGTTAACAATCACGCTATGGGATGACACCCTAAAGTCCTCTTTCCCAGAATGAGGCCCACAAGTCAGCTAAAGCCCAGGTACATACTTACTGCTAGGTGTGCTCATAGCTTGGTTGGTAGTATCCTTAGTTCACCCACTGAGGGACTGGGGATCCTTTCCCAGCATGGGTGAAATGTTGGGCATGTTTCTTCACACCCATTGCCCCTGTTCACCTACCAGTAAGCATCTGGGTGTTAACTGACTACTGTGAGTCACATTCTGGGGATGAGGATAAAAGGACCCCCATGAAATTAAGACAGTTCTGTAGCTCAACTGCTAGCACACTCAGCTCACAAACACTGAGGTCTGGAAATCAATCCCTGGTATGGGTTGAAACATTTGGGGGCATGTTTCTTAAGACACCTGCTATCTATGTTCCTCTATCAGTAAAATAGGTACCTGGATGTTAGTCGACTGGTGTGGGTTACATTCTGGGACATAATTGACCAAATTTGCCTGAAATGCTCTGCATAATAAGAGGCTTTCTGTAAAGTAATATGTCATTGATGTCAGCCAGGCCTGTATACCTTATTATTATGGACTTTACTGGATTATCCCAAGTTGCTAATCCTCTAGGTTATAAATCCCAACCATATTTGTTTTCTTAGCTGAGTAGGCAGGCTAAACATGTAAATTAACATGCTGAGCATCTTCACCCGCCCTAGGATCAAACTCAGGTCCTTTGCTTGTAAAAAGGTATTACCACGGAGCCAAGAGCAATCTTAAAGCCTCAAATACTTTTAAAAGCTATTACCATACAGTAATAAAGGCAATAGTCACCTACAGGTACCAGATATCATAAGAATTTGTACTAAAATAAAGTAAATCCTAACATTAGTACAGTATGGCACCAGATAACAACCCAGTCAAATTTTGAAGAGACAATGTTTCTAAACTTAAGGAACCATAATTACACATAATTACTTCTAACTCGTTTAACATCATGCTGGATAAGTTCAAGTGTGTGACTCACATCCATCTCCAAAAAATATAAAATATCAAATGTCACCAATTATAAGCCTGATAGTATATTATTATTATTATTATTATTATTATTATTATTATTATTATTATGGAGTGCTAAACCCAGAGGGATTATACAGTGCCTGGGGGGGGGGTATGGAAGGCATTCAGACTTAATTTAGAGAATTTGAGCACAGGTAATCTCCAGGTAATCTCCAGGTAAACAGATCCAATTCCCTAGATCAAGAGCCCCTCACCAGCATCAAGGACCTTCCCTTGAGTGTGGCCTGATAGTATAAAAAAAAACATCAAACAATACTTTAAAAACTAATTTACTTCCCAGACTAATGCAAAACTTATGCAAGAAATTAGCGAGTAGCTATTTAGTTTCTAAATATATAGCGTACAAATATCTTTATTTAATTCTGTATTACATTCATGGAGAAAGTGAACCCAAGGGGTGGGTGGGGATATACAGCTCCAATTCCTTGGATCAAGAGCCCTTAGGCAGCATCAAGGCCCTCCCTTGGGTTTGTGAGGTTAAGGACAGGTGGACCTGGCTAGTTACTGGAAAGGTGATAACACGGACAGTCACCCCCCCCTTGACCTTATTAATTCACCAGTTTGCTCTGATATATCGGCATACTATATTACAAAATATAATAAACAAATAAATTACACTTTCAACCAAAATAATCGCCAGTTCTCAGTCTCGCGGCTTCTAAGGTCATCGATTTTATTGCAGTGGATGAGGCTAGCCTCCTTAATAAGCGTACTCCTGGCGTCACCCGTGAGGTTATGGCAGGTCAGGTGATGGTTGGGCGTCATGAGAGCCCTGAGAGGACCCCAGAGGTCAAAAATCCCACCAAAGAGTCTCGCTACCTCGAAATCTCGCAAAATCCCGTGAAGAACGAGCTGCTCTTGACAACAAAGATGGCGGTCACTCAGCACGACCACACCGGCCACGGGATTACTATTGCTCAATGCTCCACTCTTATCACTCTAACCCGACATTTGCCAGTTTTGGATTTGTGATAATGTGTTATCGCGTGTGTCTGTATCGCCTAGGGGCGACTGAGCCAGTGGGTAGTTGGTATAGAAGGCATTTTGAGGTGCTCAGTTTTCTGTAACATTTATTATACATAGAAAACGAACTGGTCGTTTGGGGCAACCTAGATAATTTATGGTATACTATACCGACACGTTGATGAATAAAAAACCTTAGTAAGTTTATTAAGGTATACACAAATACAGTTATATAGAATTATCATACAGAATATGTGTAAGAGAACCTAGGATAACCCAAAAAAAAGTCAGACTGACTTATTTCCATTGGGGTCCTTTAAAGGACCCCAATGGCCGAAGCTGAATGTCCCGGGATTGCAATGTAATTTACTGATGGTTCAGTGGACCCCAGACAATAAGCAGCTGGAGACTTACCATTCCCATACCAGGGGATGGATTCTCCTTGACTGCTCAGTATTCCATTCCAAGTTATTGGCACTCCTGCAAGCTCTAACTCGCACTTAACAATACATTTAGGAGCTTATTTTTTTCACATAGGATTTCGTTCGGATTTTTAACCCCGGAGGGTTAGCCACCCAGGATAACCCAAGAAAGTCAGTGCGTCATCGAGGACTTTCTAACTTATTTCCATTGGGGTCCTTAATCTTGTTCCCCAGGATGCGACCCACACCAGTCGACTAACACCCAGGTACCTATTTACTGCTAGGTGAACAGGACAACAGGTGTATGGAAACGTGTCGAATGTTTCCACCCGCCGGGAATCGAACCCGGGCCCTCCGTGTGTGAAGCGGGAGCTTTAGCCACCAGGCCACCGGGCCACTCTATATATTCTTTAGCAGCTCTCCTGGCATATCGACACACATACACAGGACAAAATAAAACTCATCACAGGAGTGGGTGCGTTACGGTGGTATGTTTGGTCATGTTATATAGGTTATCCTGGGTTACTAACCCTTCGGGCTAATAATTAAACAGAATTAGGTAATTTTCTACTTGTGTTATAGTTGTTTAATATAACCTGCAATTTTCTGATTAATACTTCTGAGACTTGCATGAAATAACCCCTCAAGGAAGGTTCCTTGACGCTGGTGAAGGGCTCTTGATCTAGGGAATTGGATCTGTGCTCCAGTTCCCTGAATTAAGCCTGAATACCTTCCACATCCCCCCCCACAGGCGCTGCATAATTCTACGGGTTTAGCTTTCTCCCTTGATTATAATAATAATGTATGAATTGAAATACAGTAATTTGCTGCTGATGCTGCAGCTTGGCATAACATTTTTCAATGTTAAGATTTAGTACTGTACTACGTTTGATTTTTTTTTTTTTTTACCGTGTTGAATAAATCCTTATCTTTATTTTGGGTTTCTTATATTCTTTAACTTAAAACAGTTAGTTTCTGCCTTTTCTCTCTCTCTTTTTTTTTTTTTTTTTTTAGTATCTACTTTGTTTTTGCCCTGTGTCCTGCCCATATATTTCAGTCTTACAAAAAAGTTGATTACTGATTTAATCTTGATAAAAAATTAATTTGAATTTGAATACTGTACATGTATCTTGTTGGTTATCAAGGATTCATGTGGAAGAAAATGGCAAGGTGTTAACAGCTGGTGAAGGACACACATTCAGTGGTCATTTGTACATTTCTCCCAACACTAGACTTTATCAAGTACAGGAGAGGTTTTCCCGTCTCTTTATGCGAATTTGCTATGTTCACTTTTGCTTATATGCAGCAACCCCGTGGCCTGGCTGGCAAAGCTCTCGCTTCACACACGAAGTCCCCAGGTTCGATTCCCAGCGGGGTAGAAACATATCGACGCGTTTCCTTACACCTGTTGTAGGTGTAAGACGAGTAGGTACCTGGGTGTTAGTCGACTTGTGTGGGTCGCATCCTGGGGACAAGATTGAGGACCCTAATAATAAGTTTATTTTGACATGATGCATGGTTGTACAAAGGAAGATAATGTTTCTCATAATTGTATCTCATAAATGTTTAACCTATGACCCAATCAAACTTTGTTAGTTTTCATTACATTACCTAACAGAATACTCCATTCTACTGAATGCTCAGCAACACGGTAAATGACCATATGACCTGTCTTTGTAATAGTCATTTGTGCTTAATTGTAATCTGTTTACAATAATGTTTTACCACCGAATATATCATTGCTTAGTTAATCTTAAGTTAATTTTAAGCCTGCCCATAATGCTCTGCATACAAGGGGCTTTGGCATGTTACACTTAATTACTGTATTCCTTTGCACTTCTCTGTATTATGTTCAAATTAATAAATAAATAAATAATAAATAAATAGTTGGGTGTACATGCCAAAAGTACCTTTGTATGCAGAGCATTTCGGGCAAACTTAAAATTAACTTAAGATTAATAAGGCAGTAACAGTTCATATGGTCATTAGATGAGTTACAGTGAGTACAAGAGAACTGAGTATTATTAGGTAATGCTATTTGGCATATGACAGTCATCGATGACGCACTGCATTTCTTGGGTTATCCCGGTTGGCTAACCCTGCGGGGTTAAAAATCCGAACGAAATCTTATCTTATCTTAACCCTATTTCTACCAGAAATTCACTATATGTGACAAAAATTCACTCTTACGTGAGTGGAGTGGGTGGTCTCTGTGCATTTTCACTCATATGCAATCAGTGTAATGGGGAACCCATCACTTCAGTTTCCTCAGTAAAATATCTGGGAATGCCCTTTGACCCATGCTTGTCGGGAGAAATGATAGAGAACAGTGTAGTAAAGAAAGCGAATGCCAGGCTGAAGTTGCTCTGCAGACAAACACAGTGTCTACCTACTAAGGCTCGCAGGACCCTGTGTCGAGCCCTTATACAGTGTCATGGACTACGCTTGCTCTTCATGGAATTGGATCTGTTCTCCAGTTCCCTGAATTAAGCCTGAATACCTTCCATATCCCCCCTCAGGCGCTGTATAATCCTACGGGTTTAGCGCTTCCATCTTGATTATAATAATAATTGCTCTTCATGGTACTCTGCCGTGACAAAAAAAATATGGAAGAGCTTGGACACGGGTGAAATTTCACAGTCACTTAAAACAACGGATATAGCCCCACTCCATAAAGGTGGCAGCAAAGCATTACCTAAGAACTATAGACCAATAGCTCTAACGTCCCACATCATAAAAATCTTTGAAAGAGTGCTAAGAAGCAGGATTGCAAACCACCTGGATTCCCAAAAACTGCACAATCAAGGGCAACATGGGTTCAGGGCAGGTCACTCCTGCCTCTCACAACTACTGGATCACTATGATATGGCCTTGGATGCACTGGAAGAAAATCAGAATGCAGATGTAATATACAGACTTTGCAAAAGCATTTGACAAATGCGATCATGGCGTAATAGCCCATAAAATACGTGCTAAAGGAATAACTGAGAAAGTGGGGAGATGGATCTTCAACTTCCTAACAAATCGAACACAGAGTAGTGGTCAACAGAGTTAAATCGGAGGCTGCCATAGTGAAGAGCTCTGTTCCACAAGGCACAGTACTCGCCCCCATCCTGTTCCTCATCCTCATATCAGACATAGACAGAGATATACACCACAGCACCGAATCATCCTTTGCGGATGATACTAGGATCTGCGCGAGGCTGTCATCTGCTGAGGACGCGGTTAACCTCCAAGAAGATATAAACAAAGTTTTCCAGTGGGCAACGGAAAACAATATGGTGTTCAATGAGGACAAATTCCAGCTACTCCGTTATGGAAAACTGGAGGGGATAATAACTAGAACATCTTTTTGATAATAATAATAATAATAATAATAATAATAATAATAATAATAATAATAATAATAATAATAACTAGAACAGAGTATACTACAAACTCTGGCCATACAATAGAGCGGAAAAATAATGTAAGGGACCTGGGAGTAGTAATGTCTGAGGATCTCACTTTCAAGGATCACAACAGTGCCATGATCGCAGGTGCAAGGAAAATGATAGGGTGGATAATGAGAACGTTCAAAACGAGAGATGCCAAGCCAATGATGATCCTTTTCAAATCACTTGTTCTCTCTAGGTTGGAATACTGCTGTACATTAACATCTCTGTTCAAAGCAGGTGAAATTGCAGATCTAGAGAGTGTACAGAGATCCTTTACTGCACGTATAAGTTCTGTCAAGCATCTTAACTACTGGGAACGCTTGGAAGCACTTGACTTGTACTCGTTGGAACGCAGGAGAGAGAGATATATCATAATCCCAAGCTCAGATACCCCACCAAATGACTACCTCACTGGCAACTACCCGAACACACTGTTCCTAGCTCCGACTAACCCATACGAAGTCTCCCTTATTATCAACGCACTAAAAAACAAGGCAGGAGATTTAAATACCTTACCACCCTTTATATACAAAAAAGTGTCACAAGTACTATCACCAATCACTGCAACACTCTTTAACAAATCCATTGAATCCTCCACCTTCCCTACAGTTCTCAAAATAGCAAGGGTCACCCCGATCCATAAAGGAGGAGACCAAACAGAGTTGAATAACTATAGGCCAATATCCAATTTACACCCTCTCTCAAAAATCTTCGAAAAATTAATTCATAAACGAATCTACTCCTACCTCATCTCCCAAAACATTCTCAACCCCTGCCAGTTTGGATTCAGGCCTAATAAAAATACTAATGATGCTATTATACACATGCTAGAAACATATTACACTGCAATAGAGAAAAAAGAAGTCCCACTGGGGATCTTCATTGACTTACGTAAAGCTTTTGATACAGTTGACCATGACTTGCTCCACGTAAAATTGTCACACTATGGTATTAGAGGGCACTCCCTCAACTACCTCAAGTCATACCTCAG